TGTCTGATCCTATACTATGGTTCATCACCTGTTCTTAGTGTCTGATGCTATACTATGGTTCAGCAGCTGTTCTTAGTGTCTGATGCTATGCTATGATTCAGCAGCTGTTCTTAGTGTCTGATGCTATACTATGGTTCATCACCTGTTCTTAGTGTCTGATGCTATACTATGATTCAGCACCTGTTCTTAGTGTCTGATGCTATACTATGGTTTAGCAGCTGTTCTTAGTGTCTGATGCTATGCTATGATTCAGCAGCTGTTCTTAGTGTCTGATGCTATACTATGATTCAGCACCTGTTCTTTGTGTCTGATGCTATACTATGGTTCAGCACCTGTTCTTAGTGACTGATCCTATACTATGGTTCATCACCTGTTCTTAGTGTCTGATGCTATACTATGGTTCAGCACCTATTCTGAGTGTCTGATCCAATACAGTGTTTAATAAACACGTATTTCAGATCATCAGGCCGAATAAAGTACAAACACGACACATTTATTTAAATTTATTTTTTTATTACAAATCGAGAAATAAGCAAACATATTTCAACTGGCACGGCCGAAGTAAATTACAAACACAGCACAATTCCATAGTTTTATTTGACATATTAATGGAGTGTATAAAACATGTATTTTAACGGCACAGTTCGATTATTTTACAAACACGGCCCAATTCCATAGTTTTATTTTGACATATAAATGGAATATTTAAACATGTATTTTAACGGCACTGTTCGAGTATGTAACAAACACGACACAGTTTCAAAGGTAAATTTGACATATAAATCGAGTATGTATCAAACACGCATTTCAAAACACCAGGCCGAAGTAAATTACAAACATGGCACAGTTTTATAGTTTTAATTTGACATATTAATCGAGTGTTTAATAAACACGTATTTCAGACCATCAGGCCGAATAAAGTACAAACACGACACATTTATTTAAATATATTTTTATTACAAATTTACTTCGGCCGTGTCTGTTGAAATATAATTACAAACACGGCATCGTTCCATAGTTTTATTCTGATTACACCAAATTAGGTGAACAAAGCACAGACACGTTGTTGATTATGAGTCGAGCTGACGACAGACAAGTATTCACACATGAACAGAGCTACCTGGTGATGCTTGACACCGCCTGCGGCAGCTCGAAGTGGTCGACAGGCTACTACTCGGTTAGATCAAAGGCCTAGCTGACCGCTGGCGCAGATCCTGTTGCCGCAGAGCACAGGTAAATAAAGGGGGTAAAATAAAAATCCACGAGTAAAATAAAAATCCGGGAGTACTTTAAAAGTCCAACGAGTAAAATAAAACGTCTAGGGGTAAAATAAAAATCCAGGATTACTTTCATTCGTTAGGGGGTTAAAATAACCCGGATTGGAGTACTTTAATTCGTCAGGGGGGTAAAATAATAATCTAGGAGTACTTGAAATCGTCATGGGGTAAAATTACTCAGAAAGGAGTACTTTAACTCATCAAGGGGGTAAAATAACCCGGATAGGGATAAAATACCCCTAGACGTTTTAATTTGCCCCGATCTGAGTATTTCAGTCTCACATTCTTAATTTTTCACACAAGTTTTGTGTTTGTCTTGACATCTTTTTAACATTCTTATATTATTACATCAATATGTATACCAATGCAGAAAAACAATAATTTTCTTTATAAGTTTGAAACAAGATACGTAGAATAATATTATATGCATTGTAGTTGAGAAGCAAACAAATACAAAACAAAAAACAAAAAAAAACAGTTTAACTATTTTCACATGCTGAAACCAGGATATTAGGTGTTATGTACCATTGTACTGTTTGAGAAGAAGATATAGGAAAGAAAAGAGTAATAAAGAGAGAGAGAGGGACAAGAAAGAAAAGGAAGGTTGGAGAGGTGTCGAAGGATTTGACAAGGGCTTATTGTTCAATTTTGTGTAAATTTTTGTACATAGACTACTTTAACAGGAATTCCCATTTTTTCCATTCCCCTTTAAAATTAGTGAGATAATTTTCACCATTACCTACAGCAATGTATTTTTGAGTATTGTTAATATCTTTAATTAGGTTTTTTAAAGCTAAAACTGATAGACCAGTTTGCAGACATCTAGCCTTATAAATATATAGTTTAATGATAAGAAGTACTAAATTATCAACACCTAGCAATGATTCAAAATCTATTAAAAACACTTGTACTTCTTTACCTTCCCATAATGCATGAACTATAGTTTCTGTGTCAGTTTTACAATGAAAACAATATTAACCAGACCTTTTTTATAAAGATATGAATTAGTAGTTAAAATATGTTGATTGATTCTAAATTGAAGCCACTGTAGTTGTGTGTTTTTACTAATTTTGAAGGGAATGGTATAGATTTTCTTCCATATCTCTGTGTTAATTTCAAATATTTCCTCCCACTTCTTTCCACTGGTAGTATTATATTATTTTGGCATAGAACATGGTAATAATCTTTAGTTCCTTTTTTTGTGTTTAAGAAAAATTTCCAAATTAATTGGGATATATGGATAATCTACGTTCAAATTAGAAACATCCTCCTGTGAAATGGATTTCTTTATGGAATTTATGATACCTTGATAAGTAAGAAAATTTGTATGAATGTCAAATTTCGCTGTAAACTCTTGATGGCTGTAAAACAATTTATTTCTTCTTTCTTTAATTAAGTCATAAACTATTGTTACCCCTTTTCTATACCATTCCCTATAAAATATACTCTTGTTTTGTATTTTTATTGATTTATTTTACCAAATGGGTGATTTGAGAATATTTACCTTTTTGTTTCCAAAATTTACAACTTTTTCAGCTAGCTTGCACCAACTTAATAGCACATCTTTCCAAAATATTTTTTTTACAACTCTTCTGGCATTTTAGCATATAATCAGTAACACAATTAGCTATAATAGTTCTATTTCCATATAACTCAAAAAAAAATATGCCACTTTCCTTCTGTTGTATATAGCCTCCTAATCCAGGTTAATTTTAAAGATTCTATAAATGATTGTAAATGTAGCATTTTGAGTCCCCCTTCTAGATAATTCTTAATAACAATGTCTCTTTTAATTATGTCTCCCCTTCGAATGAAGGGAGACATATTGTATTAGTACTGATTCTTCTTCTTCTTTTTCTTCTTCTGGTTCTTCTAATTGGACTTGTCCTGGCCATAACTTTTAAACCGTTAGAGATATCCTGATGAAACTTTAGGGATGCATGCATCACCCACAGGAGGTGTGCAGTGCACTGGAATTAGGTCATTGTGACCTTCACCTCAAGGTCAAAGGTCAAATAAGTGCACATTTTCAGTAAATTCTTGTCCGGCCCGTACATTTCAAACCGTTGAAGATATCTTAATCAAACTTGAAGTTTACCTGCAGGTCTCGTCACTACTATCAGAGTTATGGCCCTTTGTTTAATTTTAATACCGAAGTTTGTCCACGGCATAACTTCCTTGTTATTAGGGCCCCGCATGGAAGATGCGGGTGCCCAATACTAATTCATCTGTCCGTCCGTCACAATCAAACAAGGTATCAACTGACCAAAGATCAAGGTCACTGGGTCAAAGGTCAAGGTCAAATTTTGTATATTTTCCATGATGAACATTTTGTTATGACATTATGAAGCAAAGTTGGTTGGAATTTAAAAAAGAGTCAACTGACTTAAGATCAAGGTCGCTGGGTCAAAGGTTAAGGTCAAAT